CCCCAACTTCCTATCTAAGATAAGGGCCTCCTCCATGCCTGTTTGACCAGTCTGTGATTCTTTATCCAGATCTGCTTTTCTTTGTAGTATCCCACACCCAATGATATATATGTACTTGATATGCAAACTCCTTGAAGCCAGACATTTTGTGTCTTGTTCACCATTGTTTTCTCAAGCTAAATACAAAGTAGGCACCCAGAATACCATGGGAGGGAGGGAGGGCGTACAGATGTGTGGACAATGACATCTTTAGATACGGAACAGCTGCTGTGTCTTGATGGAGCAGCTCTGTCCTTAAGTGCCCACTTGGACTGAAGCCTGGCTGTTAAGCCCAGCTCTCTCCCTGACGGCTCTGTGAACTCAGTCACTCCTTATGACACTCACATGACCCTGTGACAGGCACATGGAGCCACTCGGTGCCTAATGTGCTGGAAGGAGCTTCTGTTTAACTCCAGTCTTGTGTTGCGTTAGCTTTATACTGTGACCAGCAGGGGTCGCTCCAGTTGTGCTAATATCTTCCCACTCTGCCTTAGTTTATGCTGTTTGTGAACACATTAAAGAAAAAAAGATGCTAGGTAATCACAAAGCCTTCCAATCTAAAAGTAGGTTTCTTGGCATTCTAATCCCTTGGAAAGTCCAGTTAGACTTGCATCCTATAATACCTCCTCCATTGGAGTTAATTACAGTTATGGGTGTCTTTTCCTGCCTCAGAGTACCGAGTGCAGTGCTTCATTTCAGGTACTTTTTAACGTTTGAATTTTTCAAATAAGTTCTGTTTATGAGCGTGTGTGTGTGTGTGTGTGTGTGTGTGTGTGTGTGTGTGTGTGTGTGTGTGTGTGTGTGCCTATCCTGTGTGCAGGCATCCATAGAGACCAGGGAAGGACATCGGATCCTGGGAGCTAGAGTTACATGTAGTTACAAGGCATCTGAAGTGAGTGCTGGGTACTGAACTGAGGTCTTCTGCAAGGAAATATAGGTTCTTAAGCTGTGAGCATCTCTCCAGCCCCTCGATTCCAAATAAGCTTCTCTCACATTCGTTGCCTCTCTATTTCTTTTTTAACCCCTTTCTGGCATTCTGTGTAACTTACCACACACACAGCAGGATATGAATCCCAGACTGGAGGTTTTGCTGTGTTTACTACTGCATCCCCAGCATCTGGTAAAATGCCTCATACATAATAGGAGCTCAGGTAATACATAAAGGACTTCCGTATGTTACATGAAAAGACTCAATGAATTTTGAAAGAATTGGTAAGTATATAGAAAATATCTTCTTATGTGGATATGTTTAAGTTAGCCCATTTCAAGGAATCTAATACAAATCTTTAAAATAGTATTTATGTTTTTGACCCAGGATTGCCCAAACAAAAATATTAAAAGCTAGCTAGGTGGTAGTGGTGCACACGTTTAATCCCAGCACTCAGGAGGCAGAGGCATGCACGTCTCTGTGCATTTGAGGCCAGCCTGGTCTACAGAATGAGGAGTTCCAGGACAGCCAAGGCTACACAGAGAAACCCTGTCTTGAAACCCCCCCCCCAAAAAAACAAACAAAACCTAAGAACAGGCTGGAGAGATGGCTCAGCAGTTAAAAGCAGTTGGTGCTCCTTCAGAGGATCTGAGTTCGATTCCTGACACACACATGGTCATCTGTAACTGCAGTCTCAGAGGACCCACTGCCCTCTCTGGCCTCCTTAGGCACTGCATGCACGCGGTACAGACACACAAGCAGGCAAAGCACCCATACGAATAAAAAGGGGGATTTATTTTTTAAATACTCAAGAAAGATTTGGCTTGGTCCTAGCAAAGACCACAGTGTACTGAGCAGTGTATATGATGAATGAGAAAATGAAAGAGCTGGATCGACGCCTTAAGCACCTGCAAGATAAAGCCTTCCACTGTGTGAGTGTGCTGTGAAATATATTCATACACAGTAAGGAAGTGTAGCTGCCTCAGACAGGTCTTAATGGATACTGAGATAGTAGGGGTCTCTATCAGGAAGCAGAGGTCTGCACTGTGCTTCAAGGAGTAAGAATTTGAACAACAAGTTCAGTCATGTCTTTAGTGTTTTGAGCTCTGAGGTATGAATGCTTGTGTCATGTTAGAAACATAATCCCCAGGTTGGCGGCATTAATAGGTGAGGCCTGCGCATGTGACTTGGTCCTGTGGACAGAGCTTTAACAAGGCATTAGAGCCCTTATTAGCAGAAGCCTAAGGGGTCCACCCTTCCCCCGGGGTGCTCTCTCTCTGAGAACTAGCCCCTCAAAGACACTGCATGGATCAGCGTCTTGATTCTGGACGTCTTAGCTTCTGGATCTGTAAGGAAGAAAATGTTCTAAGCTCTCAATAGGCAGTGTCTCTTTAGAAAGCCGGATAGACAGCAGCAAGTACTCACAACTGTTTGAACACCAAAGAAAATGTAAATAAAGTGTAAAAAAATATGTTCATCTGTGCCATGAGGCATGGACAGCCTATAGAAAAGGTTTATGCACATGATTCTTGTAGAATTTTAACATATGCTGTATCTTTCCTGGAAGTGCCAAATTGCTGTGGGAGGGAAGGAAAGAAGGAAGGAAGGAAGGAAGGAAGGAAGGAAGGAAGGAAGGAAGGAAGGAAGGAAGGAAGAGAGAAGAGAAAAAAAAGGCAAACTGCCAACTGAGCAATGGCCTCCTTAGTGGAGAGATGTTTTACAGTCTTCTTGTCTGAGGTATCTGGACCAGGCCTTCAAATGCATGTGGGATTCTAATGACCACAAGTAACTACGGGAGGAGTTGAAGATGAGTGAAATTAATATTTTGCAATTATCTTTTCCCTCAAAAAAGGTGCTGTATTTGATGATAGCACCAGAAAAGTGCTGGTTGTACAAGATCGAAATAAAGTAAGTTGCTCCTGCCTTATAGATTGCTTTTCAGACATTTTCCCTAGAGAAAAATAGCATGTAGAAATGTTGGATGGCTAAGGGAATATAGAAAGATACTCTAGTAGTTATTTCTAAGCAGCTACGGGACACTTAGATACTTCTTTAAATGAAGCTGTGATAGAGGCCTGAAACCACCAGTGTGACCCTCAATGCCATGCTTACTTCCTGACTGTAGAATATCACAGATGAGTGTTTAACTGGGAAGACATATTACTGAGGTAGCATTCTTGGTGTTGCCAGGAGCTCGGCTCCCAGAATGGAGAGCACAGAGATTGAAAACATGCCACCCCAACAGTCCTGTGCTCAGTCTCTGGATAGTCATAGAATGGATTCTTTGCCATGAGAGCTTCCAGAGATGCTTCTGAGGAAGGGACATTTCAAACTCAGACTAGCAGAGTTTCTTACCGGGTTATGGAAGAGGAGAGGCAAGGGGAGGGGAGGGGAGGGGAGGGGAGGGGAGGGAAGAGGTGAGGAGAGGCGCTCGAGAGATGGCTCAGTGGTTAAAAGCACTTGCTACTCAATCCAGTTTGGCTCATAGCACCCATGTCAGGAGGCTCACAACCACCTCTACTCTGGCTTGTGGGAATCTGATGCCTTCTTTGACCTCTGCAAGCGCCTTCATCCATGTGGCAGGCACACACACACACACACACACACACACACACACACACATACTCACACACACACACACACTCGTACATATAAATAAAACTTAAAAACAATTTTAAAAGTTTAAAGGATAGAAAAATAAACTGAGAAATTAGAATTGATTGTGTGAAGACGCAGAGTTCAACCAGTGGCTGCCGCATTGGCCACCAAGCAGAACCATCGCCGTGGGGTTTGACCTGAGAGACTGGCAACAGTACTAAAGGCTAAAGGTGGAGTCCAGGCTACTAGAAACAGCAGGGATTAAGGGCATAGTAGAGATGCTTCCATGCTCGGCATTGGTGTCAAAGTGGAGGAGAATGCCTTTTCTACTCTGGTGCTGGGAATCAAGTCAGGGCTAGTGCTGTCTCTGAGCTAGAGTCCAGCGAGAGTATTCATCTTTCTATTTTCTGACCTTTTGTTAAATACTGCTAGACAAAATTAAACATTTTACTACATACTTACAACACGTAATTTCTCAGACATGCTATCTAAGTAACGTACGAGGCTTAACTTAAGGTCATGTCTCTGACTCAAACTTTTTACCATCAACATAAACTTATGCAGCACCTAAGGTAGTACTGTGCCTAGACTTTAGTAAGTTTTATGTTTGGGTTGGGACACAAACATATACATTCAATGATAGTGACTACAGAGTAGGGAATGTGATTTGACAATCATGGTAGGACTCACTGTGAGGATTCTTGGGAGCCAGACATGACTTTAGACTTGAAATGCAAATCATAACTATTGACAGACCTGTGATAACAGAATGATGGTGTACGGGCAGGTTAATATCATAATAATACCAAGTTCTCAAGTGCCCTGTTACACCATTTTATTACAGAGTTTATGACGGTAGTGCCCACATCTTACCAATTTCTAGAGAAACAAAGCTTCCAGAACCATGTCAAAGTATAAACCAAAAGACAGTGTGTCCTTGCAGATGACATAGATTTCTATACTAGTAAAGTAAGGCATAAGGTGCTTTATAAATTAGTGTGAAGCCTGAGTTGGACACAGAAGGGTGGAAAGCCTGGATTCTGTACTGAGTAATCAACAGTGTATGGAAAGCAGGAACCTGCCACTGGCCTCCAAGTCCACATAGCTGACAGGGATGCATGCTCCCAGCAGCACGTTTTCAGGAAGATGAAGGGTCACAGTGCACAGCGGAAGTCCACAAAGGTTTTATGAATGAAGGATATGAGATCTGCAGGTTTATGAGGTCACTTCTCATTCTTGAGATTTATAGTATGATGAACACATACAGAAGAATTCTACAAGGAGACAAGTCATGTCAGCCATGAGAAAACTGTCTTGTGCCAGCTCATCATTATTTTGCTCTATTCTTATTTCTCCCAGAGATCAGGTTTACCTCCTTAGCATCCTCCCACCCCTGCCCCCCAAATAGAAATAATACAAAGAGAATACAAAGAAATGATAGCCAAGAAACCAAATTAATTTTATTCACACTACTCATAAAAAGCAATAACATTTTACACAAAACTCATAACATGAAGAAAATTTGAATAATATCTGTGATTAGAAACAAAACGCAGTAAATGCATGTAAAACTCTAGAGTAGCATACCTCGGTGGTTACATTTCTCCTGTACTCTACTTATAGCAGCATCTGTAAGGTCCTATTTGTTCATATTTAACTAGCAGCCAGGTTCTGTAAAGTACACAAATTAATAGATACTTCCCTCCAGAGTTTCATTAATACAAGTTGTATCACATTAGCTAAATAACACCAATTCTATTTCGTGAAGAGTAAGAGGAAACTATTTCTTCAGTCACCATCTCCATCAAAAGAGAAAAGATGAAGTAATACGAAAGCTGGGGGAAATAGAGTAGAATCGCTAAACACAAGTTTTTGCTACCGTGAGCAGCTGTGGGTGGGCTAGGGGAGAAGCGGACAGAAACAGGAGAATGAGAGTGAATCATGACACCGTGTGTTTCCCTTGCACTGCAGCTGAAAAATGTGTGGAAGTTTCCAGGAGGCCTGTCAGAACCTGGAGAAGATATTGGTATGTATCTATATATTTCTGATAAGCTTGAAAATGTTTGGAAATTTCATGTTTCCTTCTGGTTTTCTAGCTAAGAATAAGACTTTAAATTTTCTAACTGTTTCAGACCAAGTCAGAAAATTTCCAGCAGATTCTGAGGGCTGCTATTCAGTGAGCATGAGTTTTCTAGCACAGCCCGTCCTTAGGGAGTGTTAACACCCCTTTCCAGGGATGCTCTGAGGTCGTCTAAAAGGCATTGACTTGAGATGTTCACCAGTAAAGTTCATTATAAATATTTCAATTAAGGCTAACATTTTGAATTCTTGACCATATTATGTTCACATATGGTTGAAAAATTTAAATGAACTTTGAAGTATAATAAAGCCAACCACAAGGAGATAGTGATATAATTAATTCTCTTTTGAAGGTTTTCATATTTATTATGAATAGTCCAAAGCATAATAAAATATCTTATGAGGAAGTCTCAAGTGGGAAATGGCATGCCTCCCATCTCCCACCAAATCATCTTATAGGGAGAAAGGCTGGGAGCTAAGGACTTAGTCACTGATCCACAATGCATAGAATTATGCGGTTCCTTAAACAATTAGGTTAAACTCAATATCACCCTGATCTATAAATAATACGTTAGATATTCATATTATTTCTCAAAGACCTTTTAACATTCTCATTTCTCCTTAACCAGCTACTGTGTTTATTTATATTTGAGTGTATGTTCATGAAGTCTGAATTTTTAAATGTTACACAGATCTAAATACCCTGTCTATATTTACATGGCCAGCTCCTAACAACCCATCAGCATGCTGATGACATTCAGATACGTAAAACAGACCTTGGGTTATGTTCTCACTGATTGTTTGCTTAGTTCTCAGGATAGGGGGTGGTCTGTTGTCAGTGTGTACTCTGGGGACCTTGGTGTGATATCACATGCCTATTTACCCCAGTACTAAGGAAGCCGAGGCAAGAGGATGGTGTTTTCGGCTACTCCGTGCTACTTAGACCATGTCTTCAGGGACATCTGTATTTAGTAGGGGTGCCAAATACTGAGAGTAGAGGCCACCTTCTTAATGTTCTCCTATTAACTATGTGGTGTGTGAGGGCATGTGAACAAGGTAATTCAGGTCTAGCCTTCTCTCCCTCCTCTGAGGGGAAGCCATCTGAAGCCCCATGTGCCTTTCCTTCCTGAGACATACCTTTTCAAATGAATGGAGATGGGGTTTTTTCCTTTAGAACTTCAGTAAATCCTAAGAATTTCAGACACACTTGGATGTAAATGAAAAAACACATTTTCAAGCAAAGTGTATATAAATTCAGTTTTAGGTATAATTCCACCATCTTTCCTTTAAGTCTACATCATTTTAAATGTACTTCTAGTTTTTGTTTTTTTTGTTTTTTTTAGTATCTGTGGTTATCAAAATAACTTATCTGAACTAAAAAGCAGACAATGGCATTCACCATTAGCTTTAGAACCTGATCCTCTACAACCTGTTTCTGTTGATAGCCAGTACAAAACAAAAGTACTCTCATGAGGAAGCCAGATTGTTTAGACCACCTGGAAATTATATTCTTGAAACCTTTGTTTGGGAAAGCACGAAATACACTTTTGGAATGTTGCCATCCTGAACAGTTTGACATTTACTGGCTGTTAATTAGCCTGTTATTAAATACCAGTAAATAAATACTAGTGAATTCAAAAGCTCATTTTTTTTGGAATCTTTCATCTCTGATAGTGCAAGGTAGGTTAAACATTGATATGCTGAGAGTTGTAAGAAATTAAGTTTTGAAAATGCAAAATAAATTGAAGTCCTTAAGGCTTGAGCCTAAAGGTGTCTTGTATGATCCAAAGGAACAAAATGCCTTCCTACTATATGACATTACTCTCAGTAAAAACCATATCTTGCTTCAGCTAACCAGGGATGTTGAACAGTGCCAGAGAGAGCTCAAGGAAACCCACATGCTGAACGTCTCCCATCCCTTTATTCCATCTCATGGCATCCTACCATGACATCCTACAAAACAGAAGGAACGTGGAACCTCATACTGTCCTACTGTTCAGTAATCCAGCCTGACGTTCAGCATACCTCTTCAGCAGCAAAACTGAGCTTCTAGATTCTTCACACACAGAAATTGTTATTTCAGCTGGGTTAAAGTCTGTTAAAATAATTGGAAAGAAACAGCAGTTTATCTTGATAAATTTAAATTTGAAGTGGAAGGGGAGGATGTCCCACACTTTAGAAACAAAAGCACTGGCTTGCATTTCCTGCTTTTAGCTAGTGGGTGATGCACTGATTTGTTAAACTATCCCGGCTAGCCAGGCAGTGTTCATCCTGTCACCACCACTATAATGACTGCTAAGTAGGACACTCACTCTTGTTTACCCTGGCCTGTTTCCGTGACTTACAGACAGCTGGTCAGACTAGTGGTGCTAAGAACTGAGCAGGATCCCCAAGGTTATTTTCCAGAGCATGGGAAAAGTGTTTATGTGTGTGTGTGTGTGTGTGTGTGTGTGTGTGTGTGTGTGTGTGTGGTATACATACATACATATATATACATATATATACACATATATATATATACACACACAAGAGTCAGAGGCCACTATATAAACGTTGAAGACTAGTGCCACAATTTTTAATAACTTTAATAATGTATTGTATGCAAGATGAAAACTATTTTCTTACTAGAGAAACTTTGTGAGCCTATAATGTTCTTTGATGCCCCTGTTCCCTCCCTCATTATGTGGAACTAGGAACTGAACCCAGCATGCTGAGGCAGGCATCGACATGGTGAGCTGTATGTCTTGTCTTGGTGCTTTCAGTTTTGAAATGTAATTTCTGGCCATGCTCATTAACCTATGAACAAATCTCAGCCACAAGGGAAGTCAGCATACACTTAAAGAATGATAGATAGATGTCATGTGTTTTTGACCAATTTACTGTTCCTGTGAACTTTTCCAGAACTGTTTCTTAGAAACAAGAGCATGTCTTAGGGGCTGGTTTGTGTCCAGTGGGGCAGGAGAGACAGTGTATGGAACTGTGTACTTTTGATAGCTCTTCAATGCATAGGTGTTATCAGTAGAATTACTGGCAAGGCAAACTTAGGTGCTATTTGGCCAACAGCCAGAGAGGCATTAAAGGCATTAAACAACCTATAACAATTCTAAAGATGACCAGAAAAGCGATCAAGGCAGGCAGCTATAGAGCATCAGAACTAGTGAAGTCCATTCAGGCATTCTTCATCAGTGTTTAGAAAAACTGGACATAAATGCAATGTTAATGGTGATGAAAGTCTTGCCATGGAAATTTGTATTTAATTAAAAATACTTACAAAAATGTGAAAAACCTTGTTACATTATAAAACTATATGCATTTCCAGCCTTATGAAAATGTTTGCTGAAACAGCTACTGTATTTTTATGTTGAAGGAATGAATCCCAAGTTCTACACAATCTGATCTCAAGTAAAAGCAGTTTTCAAATCAGGCTAGGATCCACCAGGGGTGGGGGTGGGAGCATAACCACGGTGGGATCCACCAGCAGCTGGCTAGGAGTGGGTATAGCCATGGTGAAAGACTTTGTCCTGTGAGGTTTGAGATCACAAAGAAGTCAGAGTCATTTCACAGCTAACTCAAGTATGTTCAGCACTACAGCCTTCTGTAACAAAGGATGGATACTTTCCCTCAGTTTAATGTTCATAAACTCAGGCAGTTTGATGGATGTTTGGGGCAGGATAAAGGGGAAGGAAGGATTGATCAGAATGTTAGTGCAGCTTTGTTTGCAAATGTGTTCTTTTGGGAAATAGAGCAGAAAGAGGTTAAGAAGATGTGGCTCCCACACGGGACACATGCATGGCCTCCAAGGAGACCTTCAGTGTCTCAAAAGCATCTTAAATACAAAGTGCACTGCACAACATCCAGAAAGCAGTTTGAAGACAGAGCTTTGCTGTTTAACTTCCAGATTGCATCTGGAAACCTTTGATGGCATCTCTAAGAACGAAATCTCTGTGTTTGTTTCTCTCTTTCACATAGGTGACACAGCAGTCCGAGAGGTTTTCGAAGAGACTGGTGTGAAGTCAGAATTCAGGTCCCTGCTGAGCATCCGGCAGCAACACAGGAACCCTGGAGCCTTTGGGAAGTCAGACATGTACCTGATCTGCCGCCTGCACCCATGTTCCTTCACTATCAACTTCTGCCAGCAGGAATGCTTGAAGTGTGAATGGATGGATCTAGAAAAGCTTGCCAGGACTGAAAACACGACCCCCATCACCAGCAGGGTAGCTAGGCTTTTGCTTTATGGACACAGGGAAGGGTTTGACAAAATTGACCTCAGTATGGAGGAACTCCCGTCAGTGTACACAGGCCTGTTCTACAAACTCTATCACAGGGGACTGCCCGAGAGTTACAGAGCCACAACGGGAGTGGACTGAACGCAGACACGGGAGTGAACCAAAGACGGCCATCATCTGCCGTTAATACCTGGCGCCAGCTTTCTCGCTTGTGTGGTTTCCATGATGGGAATCTACGAATGTACATATTTTTAAATCCTCTTTTCAAATAAAGAAAATAGATGAAAAAGATTGTGGCTCTAATCATCACCGGGTCACAACCAAAGCTCTATACTATAAAAGGGGGAAGTCTTAATTTTTTTTTCCAAAACTTGCTGTTTTTCTTTACTGAGGTAATGGTTAAGTGTCTTGTTACATAATGAGCGATCAAACCAGGTGTCCAGACTTAGCTGTGTGCGTTCTTTTCTCTCATTAACGATTCTGAAGCGAGTCAGCTCGTAGCAGACATGGGAAGAAACAGTACGGCCTTCTGCCCAGGCCCCGTTTTGGATCCGAGTTTGTACTGCCCAGTCCGTTTCAGTGCCACATACCAACTGGAGTACTTCCTGGACCGGTAAGTATTGTAGTTGTTAGATTCCAAGCGTTCAAAAAAGAAACATTCTTCTGTAACACACTTCTGAAAAAGAAGGGACATTTTGTTTTTATGCCTTTTGTGTGAAACACCGGTGAGAAGACAGCAAGATAAGCAAATGAGCAAGACTATAGGTCAAAATGTGACCAGACAGTAGCACAGCGCCCCCTGGACAGCAGTAGCCCTAGGACCGTTCCAGCCCTGTGACAGACAGCAGGGTGGGCAGTAGCCCACATGGAGGCAAAGGGACCATACTATCCCGGACTCAGAGCTTCACAACCTCACCTAACCGTTCAGGGACCTGCAGGAGGGTCACACGCTCTACCGAGGGCCACATGGAGCGAAGTTCCTCCAGGTGCAGCTCATACACCACCCCCTACCCCACCCCTGGGGCAACTTCACAGTTAAGCATTTTCACTTTTACATTTCTCATGGGGCTTAAGGGAAACAGTGTCCAAAGGATAACCCTGAGAACTCTTCCCACAAAGAACAGGGGACAGAATAAGTCCCCTGAAGTCACAGGTGTTGGCTACTGGCTAAAGTTGCTTGTAGTTTGCTCTATAGAAAAACATCTAAGGTTGCCTTATGTCAAAAATACCCTGAAACAGAGAATGGTGTGAGATTGACAATCTCCAAATGCCAGCCAGCAACAAAGAACAAGCAGTCTAGAACCTACTGGTTTCTGAAGAATACACAATCTGGAACACGGGTTTTTGGAAAATAAGTAATTCAGGATGTACTGGTTCCTTTTTTGTTTGTTTGTTTTGTTTTTTGTTTTTTGAGATGGGGTTTCTCTGTGTGTAGCCTGGCTGTCCTGGAACTCACTCTGCAGACCAGGCTGGTCTTGAACTCACAGAGATCCTCCTGCCTCTAGGATTAAAGGTGTGCGCCACCACTGCCCAGCTGGGTGTACTGGTTTCTGAGGAGTAAGCAATCTAGAACATTCTGGTTTCTGCAATTCTCCTTCTGAACAGGATGGAAGGGACCCTGCCTTTTGGTTTCTATTCTCCTGTATGAGAAAAACAAAATAGCTTTCAAATAGCTGGGTCTGGAAATAATGTTGTAAGTAATGGAGTCTGAAAAGCTATCATATTGTTTAGGGAAATGTTCAGAAATCAACTTCACAGGGTAACCTTGAGCCATGAGGAATCAGCTATTCACTTTATAAGAAAACAGGAAGCAGGGTGTTGGTGGCGATTGCCTTTAATCCCAGCACTCAGGAGGCAGAGGCAGGAGGATCTCTGTGAGTTTGAGACCAGCCTGATCTACAAGAGCTAGTTCCAGGACAGCTTCCAAAGCTACAGAGAAACTTTGTCTCAAAAAACAAAACAAAAAAACAAAACCAGAAAGAAAACAGGAAAAAAATCACTGCTTCTTAATAAATATATGTCAACCAACTGGGCTTATACTTACCATGTATGTTAAGGGTCAGCTGACTTCATTTTCTTTTTAGTTAACAATGTTTGACTGAGACCCTGGAAGCAACCTAGATGCCTCTCAACCAAAGAATGGATGAAGAAAATGCGGTACATTTACACAATGGAGTACTACTCAGTGGGGGGGGGGGGGGGAATGAAATCTTGAAATTCAAAGTCAAATGGATGGAACTAGAAGAAAACATTCTGAGTTAGGAAACCCAATCACAGAAAACAAGCATGGTATGTACTCACTCATGTATGGATATTAGATATAGAGAAAAGGATTACCAGCCTTCAATTCACATCACCAGAGAAACTAGGAAACAAGGAGGACCCCAACAGAAAAATACATGGTCCCCTGAAGAAGGGGAAAGGGACAAGAACCTCTGAGCAAAGTGTGAGCATGGGGGGGCGGCGGTAGGAAAAAGAGAAGGGGAGAAGAGGAGGGGGTAGGAGGACATGAGGAGCAGGAAGATTGAGTCAGGGGAAGAATAGAGGAGAGCAAGAGAAGAGATTCCTTAATAGAGGGAGCCAGTATAGGTTTAAAGATAAATCTGGCACTAGGGAAATATTCAGAGATCCACAAAGACGACCCAAACTAAGAATCTAGGCAGTAGTGGAGAGGCTGCCTGTGATGCCCTTCCCCCTATAATGAGAATGATGACTACCTTGGTTACCATTCCTAGAACCATCATCCATTAGCTGATCAAAGCAGAAGCAGACACCCACAGCTAAGCACTGAGCCATACTCCTGGACTTCAGTTGTAAAGCAGGAGGAGGGATGAGCAAAGGAGCCAAGACCATGCTGGAGAAACCCACAGAAACAGTTGACCTGACCTAGTGAGGGTACAGAGACCCTAGTTTTAAAGCTGGGGAACCAGCATTGGACCGAGCCAAGCTCTCTGAATGTGGGTGCCAGCTAGGAGGCGAGGGCAGTCTATGGGACCTCGAACAGTGGAGTCAGTGTTTATCCCTAGTGCACAAATGGACTTTGGGCGTCCATTCCCTATGGAGGGATACTATTGCACGAAAGAGGGCCTAGTCCCTCCCCCAAATAATGTGACAGACTTTGATGATCCCCTTTGGAAGGCCTCACTATTTTTGGAGAGTGGGTAGGGGTGGGGGAGTCATTTGGGGGGCATGGAAAGATGGGAGGACGAGGGAATGGGGGAATTGATATGTAAAATAAGATTGTTTCTAAAATTAAAAAAAAAGATTAAAAAATAACAATGTTAGGCTGGTTTTTCCTCAATACTCTTGTGAATTACACATCATAAATTATTTCCACTGTTCTGAGAATTGACTGGCCATAAGATGTTTCATGGCATGTTAATTATCTGACCATAAACGTGTTTCTTCCCATGATCTTAAAAATGAATGCAAAATTCCAATTTTAACTACTTGCTCCATTGGTATAAAGAGACTGCTTCTCTGCCTTTAATCCGGGCTATCTTCATTCTCCTACTATGAGAGACTGAAATATGGCCCAGCCATTATTAAATTTTTACTTTGCAACATCTCTGTGTTAGTTCCTGTTTTTTGGCATCATAACATGTACATTTTAAAACACAAAAAATTCAGGATGTATGAATATATAAATATATGATGTATATTGATGAATATATTGAATTCCACGTTAATATTTTTTATGGATTCACTTATTTTATGTGTATGAGTGTTTTGCCTGTATGTATATATGTGTCCACAGAGGTAGAAAAGGACATCATATCCTCTGGAACTGAAGCAACCATTGACTGTGAGTTACCACATGTTACTGGGAACCAAACCTTGGTCTTTTAACAGAACAAATGCTCTTAACCACTGAACCTTTCCCTTCACTAATTAAAACAGAATGGGTCAGGCAGTTAACATACCACAAAACATCTTATGGCTAGTCAATTCTCAGAACAGTGGAAACAATTTATAATGTGTAATTCACAAGATTATTGAGGAAGAATCAGTCTAACATTGTTAACTAAAAGGAAAGTAGAATCAGCTGTCCCTTAATATACATAGTAGGTATATGGCTTTTTATATAAGCCCATTTGGTTGACACACATCTATTACTAGTGAATTTTGAATGCTACAGTGTACTACGTACAATAATTCCAAGAAGCCATTTGTCTTAGTTATTGTTATACTGTTGTGAAGAGAGGCCATGACCAAGGCACTATGGAGTGGGAGATGAGAGCCAAGCAAGGAGGAAGGCTAAAAATATTCCAGGACACCAAAAGATGATGGGTGAGATGGTGGCCTCAGGACATACTAGCCCATGCTTATTTAGTATAACACAGACTCAGGTGGCTAGGGAGATATTTATACGTATGTGTGTAAGAAGGTTAGTAATGTACAAATCTCTGACAGAACTGGGAAGAAGCAGCTCCAAAAACAGCAAGCACACTAAATCGTGTACGATTCCACTTTCTAACAAAAAGAGTAAGACTCCTTGGAGAAATGGATCACTCCAGGCTACCATGGGGCATTTGCATGTGAGTCTTGGTGCCCTAGAAGTGGTGGAGTGCTCAAAATAAACACATTGAGAGGTATCAAGAGCACAGAGCCAAGTATAAGAGTTCCCAATGTTTCAGCAACAAAATAAGTCTTTGACTAAATACTTATAAAAACGATTGAACTAAAGTAAATGGAGAATAGACAAATTTCCTACATAAAGAAACTTTAACTTACCTAAGTTACATTTCACCCTCAATGACATAAAGCAAAACCACCATATTCCACCCTGTAAGAGTGATCTACTTAGTGATATCCTTCCTGCAACACACCATCCATCCCCTAGGTGTGAAAGTGACATCCTTCCTACAACATATCACCCCTTGGGTGTGAACAGCTGCATGGCGACTGTCTTCCTGCAATGTACCTCCTCTAGGTGTGAAAACTGCATGGTGATGTCCTAGCTGTAACACACCATACCCTAGGTGTGACCAGCTGTATGGTGACTTCCTACTTGCGACAACATCCCCTAGGTGTGAACAACTAGATGGTGGCTTCCTTATGATGCTCCATCCCTTAACAGTGAACTCCTGCTCAGTGACTCCCTTTCCAAGGAAAGGAAAGACTAACTACTTCTGTGGTTGTCCTCTCAAACTTTTAGAACTCGTCTAGCCACAAGAAAAACACCAGGCAGTCCCAAACTGGAGATGCATAAAAATACTTGAATGTCAAAGTAATGAAATCTGAGATATGGTCACTGTCTAGAGGAAACTACAGAGACAGGATGACCAAAGCTGGCCTTGCTTAGGATCTTCAGGGAAAAATTAGAGTGTTACAAGTCAGTGTGGACTGTAGCTACTGGTATCACAGTGAGACAGGCAGGCAGCTGTGTTTATCTTCCTGACTTCCCTGCAAACTTAAAACTATTATAGAAGCAAATGGTATTTTTTAAAATTTATCCTGTTATCAATATACAGTATATATCTGCACCAGACAAGCACTGTTCACCCTAAATATGTAAAACTGCATGGCAAAGATAAAACACAAGTAATGCAAAAAGACTGATCCGAGAACTGCTAATGTTACAAGAAAAGAACCCTCCATCTGGAGGGATGGCTTAGCGGAGAAAATGCTTGCTACGCAAGTATGAGGAACAAAAGTTGAGATTCCCAGAACCGA